TTGGCGTGGGAAGCCATGATCTCAGAACGAGGAATCCAGGCGTTGTCAGCAGACATCATGGGTGTCCAGCGCTCGTTCTTCATGCCGACGTTCTCTCCGAGAGCGAACGAACACTCGTATTCGTAAGAGTTCTTGAACTTCCTGCGGGAGTTGATGCCGATGACGCGACGCTCGGTACCCTCGATCTTGTAGATCTTGTCCATGGCCTTCTCGTCCTCCTCGGTGACGATCTTGTTGGCACGGTCCATGGTCTCACGGTCCTCACCAGTCTGGAAACGCCATTGGATGTACTCGGAAGGAGTCTTGTCGAGGTGGTGGTCGATATGGGCGAAAGCGTGCTGCTTGATGTAGGCAATACGGATGTTCTCGTGGTGGTAGATCTCACCCTTGGTAGGAACAAGCTCACCAGTCAGGACGTTGACGAGGGTGGACTTTCCGGCACCGTTGGGGCCAATGACGGCAATACGGGATCCGAGCGAACATTGGAAGGTAATGTCCTCAATCTGGGGCTTGGAGGTACCCTCGTACTGGAAGCTCATGTTGGTGGCACGGAGAATGGCCTTGGCCTTGGTCTTGACACCCTCAAGGAAACCGGGCTCGGGGAACTTGAACTCCATGTCGGAGGCAGCAAGCTCGTGGTAGGACTTGGCAGAGGGCACACGCTTGACGAAGTCGTCAAGGTTACCACGGTAGCGCTTAAGCTTGAAGCGCTCGTAGTGGATGACGTGCTGGATGACGTTGTTCAAGAACTTGCTGTCGTGGGAGATGACAATGGATGTGCAAGGGGAGCTGGTGAGGTAGTCCTCGAGCCACTTGACATTCTTGACGTCCAAGTGGTTGGTGGGCTCGTCGAGCAGCAGGATGTCGGGCTTCTCGAAGACAGCACGGGCAAGCGCGAGCTTCATCTTCCATCCACCGGAAAGAGCACCAATGGTACCGTTGTACATGGCGTCGGTGAAACCGAACTCGTTGAGGGTAGTCTTGACCTCTGACTCAGGGGTCTCAACACCGACGGACTTGAGCTTACCCATGGTCCACTCAAGAACGGTCATCTCAGTGTCAGCAGAGTCCAAGTCGTGCTCGACGTAGACAGTCTTGACCTCGTTCTGCTTGGGGAAACCCTCGACCTGCTCGTTGTTGATAGCGCGCATGAGGGTGGTCTTTCCAGAACCGTTGGGTCCGAGGAGACCGTAACGCTGACCACGCTTGAGACGGAGATGAGTCTGGTTGAGCAGGATCTTAGCACCGTAGGCCAAGTTGAATGTGCAGTTGCAGAGATCCTCGCCCTCCTCCTCATCGGGCTCGACGGCGCGCTCAGCGGCGGCACCGGGGAGAGATCGCTTGCGGGTCTCCTCAGTAACCTCCTTGGCCTTCTCGTCACCGACAAGGACGGCAACGAAAGGACCGGCGTTAGCCTGCCAGTTGAGAGGCTCGTAGTCCTTCTCGTCGATCAGCTGACCACCAATGGCACCAACGTAGTTGACGACAGGGGTGAAGCGGTCATCGATCTTGATGCTGGAGGGGATAGCGGCCTTGAGGTGGTTGGCAATGGTGGAGATGTCACCAGACTTCTCGATCTCAGGGATCTTGCCGTTCTCGACGTGACCGACACGGATGAGGGTGTCGAGACCCTGGCGGGTCTTCTCACGGGCCTCGGGGTCAGCCAAGTTGTCGTGGTTCTTCTCAAGCGCGGGCATGAGACGGGGCAAGAAAGCGGCGACAATCTGGGGGTCCTCGACAAGCTTGCACATGTTGTCGATAATGACGGCAGACTTACGCTTGATGGCAGTCTCGCGCTCGACGAGACCACGCTCAAGCAGGGGAACCATGATGGCGAGGGTGGGCTCGTGGACGTCAGTGACGAAAGTGGTGGCACCGAGCAAGTGAACGGTCTCGGGGACGTTCTCAGGCTTAGCGATACACTTGATGAGCTCGGGAATGAAGCGCTCGATATCCTTGTTGGAGATCAAGGAGCAGAGAGTCTCCATGGTGCCGTAGGCAGCCTTCTTGACCTCAGGCTTGGTGTCCCACATGGCTCCCGAGATGACGGGAATCAGGTCGGGGACACGGAAAGCCATCTGTGCGGGGGCGCTCTTGGTGAGGGCCTCAATGCACTTCAGGTCGGTCATCTTCTCGGGCCACTTTTGTGCGTTCTCGAGCGAGTTGATGATGTGGGGGATGATGGCCTTGACGGCGTTGGGGTTGGCGGCCATGACGATGGACTCGGCGGCGGTCTGAGCAGCGACCTTGACGCCGCTCATCTTGTCACCGACCGCGGCCAGCACGTCCGGCAGGAGGGAGACGAGGTAGGGCTCGACGGAGGCGGAGACGTGCGAGTGCTGGGCGATAGCACGGATGGCATCGAGAGCGCGCTCGCGGGCGACGGCATCCTTCTTGCTGGCGAGTTGCTTCTTAAGCACCTGGACAGCCCTGCGTGTTTGTTAGAGACTGCACTGTGGCGGGGGAGGGGCAGAGTGCAAACATACTTGGTGGGAGCGTCAGCCTCCTCAATGTCGCCGTTGATGAAGGTGGCGATGGCCTGAGCAGAGGCGTTGATCTCGTCCTGGGCCTTGGACACGGTCAACTTCTGCATCATCTCCTCAAGCGCCTTGAGCGACTTGGAGTTCTCGGACTTGATGTCCTTGGCATCATGCGAAGCAGCAGGCGCCATGTTGTCGGTGTAGGTAGAGGGGGGAGGTGTAGAGAGGGCGGGAGAAGTAGGTGGGGTGGTCCTTATATATGGACTTTGGCGGGGCCTAAAAAACTTTTGGCGCGAAAAGATAGAGTGAATCTATCCGGGGGGTATCAACGCGAGGAATCTGACTCGCAACCTTTCTATGCTACCGGGCACAACGACAGAAAGAAGGGAAAGGGAGTGTGAGTGGAGAGAGGCGGCAGTGAAGGCTTGACGGGCTCTTTAAATTTGCTCTTGTTGTTTGGTGGGATGGCTCGCTTTGAGATTTTTCCGCACGGGCCAGATCTTATCGCGCTGAGGAACCCGACACCAGCGTCGCCGCCCAGGCGCGCAATTATTTACCTATGATCTAATTCGCATCCTATTCAACGCCAAAATTTTCCTGCTCGCCGCATTCCCCCCAGTTATCTAGTACTCCCCGCAAGTGTCTACTTCTGTTTCTTCACAACAGAGGGGCAGCAGCTTTGCCGCCGCCGGAGCCATGTTGCAGCCCACGTTGCAAAAGGCCATCTATGTGTGGCGAGTTTGGGTAAGGCGCGCTGACCGCCTTCTTCAACAAGACACCGTAGCCAACGACATGCAGCCAACGGTTGGGAGCCGCGGGAAATGCGCGCTGAAGATCAGGGACTGCACTAATCCAACCCGACCGCCATGTCAGCATCCTTACAATAGAGCACACATTTCAAGCCACGGCATTTACAACACATATTCTGCCAACTCTTCCACCTCGGCCTCTGAAAACACCACAGCATACTACTTCTAGCTCAATCTACGGGCGTTCTCTTACTGATGGGGTAGCCTTGCCGGCCACTCTTCGTACAGCCCTGCCAAGTCGTCGCGCTACGGCCACAAGCGGAGGCTCCAGACTACTACCTCCCCGATTCTGCCGAAGTCGAGACAGCAAGCGTTTCTGGTACCCTCGCCACCCTGCGTAGGCCACCGCCGAGCCATCACCGGCACCACGCCGTACTATACCAGAAGTATTAGGGACGGTAAAATCTTCCGAGACTACTTGTCAGTATAGCGCATGACATACCGAATCTGACCGCCCTGGTGTCGCCGTGTATGTTCCCTGTTCATAGGATTACTAACATTACCCTTACGACGGCCCGTGACGGATGCAGAACACAACTACGAAAGAGTTGGACCCTGACGATGTCGAATTGTTAGCCGTATGCGAACCATCGCTCAACCATATTGCGCTCCGCAAACCCCCACTTCTTATCGATACCCCGGATTTCGACGTGTCAGAGTTCCTCACAGTACGCTTGTACCAATCCGTCAAACCTCAAGTTTGCGCATTCATGGCATTGTGATCTGTGCGAACGGCACCTTGTACTGTTGGTTTATACTGATTTACGTTGTGCGAGTATACACCTTGTCGTCTGTCCCGAGGCAGTCGCGTATGTGTCAATTCACGTCGCCCACCAAAAATCCATGCAGAGCTTATTCGGATCCACTGCAGACAAAAGTAGCACCTCAGACAACGGAAAAGGCAAAAGCTCTAGAGCCTACATTGGCCCTAGATTGTCCGGTTTGCGTGTTTTGCTCTGGTGTAGTCCGTAGACATGTTTAGCTATTCCCTTGTATACGATAGTAGCGAACTGCGAGATCTGATCGGATAAGCCTCAGCATGGCGTGGTCAATAGCTGCTACAGGCAGAGTCAACAATAGCCACAGCGCACATATACAATCACGTCCAAAGAACCGGAGCAGCCTCTTCAGATAAATTTGTTGACGACACCCGTATCGATGTTCCCAGGCAGCAGACCTTTTGCATGGTCATTAGAATGGCGCCGAAGATGTGACCGGGGCGATATTGAACAGAAAAACCCAACGATATCTCAACAATGTACATGCGTCTGCAGTCATACAGCAACATTAAGCCAGTATTATATAAGGCATCGCGGTGGACTAAGCAGTGTTTTTTTGCGGTCAATAGAATGTCAGCTACACAGACGAACTCCAGGATGGCAGAGTGGTCAGTGCTGGCGCTTCAGCCAAATTTCCGGTCATGTCCGACTCCACATCCATCACCAAATCGCTCACAGCTCAGCCGCAATGCGACCCACGTCTAACCCGTTGGGTATAATCAGCCTTCGCAGACATGTGGCGCGCGCAGTCAGCTCCATACGAGGGCAAGTCACACTTAAAGCGTGCGTGTGATGCCGCAATCGCACTGGCCTGACCATCTGCCAACCTGCCCCTCCCCCACCGTAGGCGCAACCACATTTCACATCTCTACCTAGAGCCTTCGTACATCTTTTCTCATTAGACATCAATACACATCACATTCAAGAACAACATGTCAGGCCAGGATTACTACGGTCAGGGCCAAGGCCACGATCAAGGCTACGGCTACAGCCACGGCGGCGCATACCAGCAGCCCCAACAGCCGCAGCATGGCTACGGAGAGCACAACCAGGGCTATCCTCCTCAACCTCAGGCGTATGGACAGCAGCCGCACGACCAGTACGGTCAGGGACATCACAGCCCCTACCCGCAAGGACAGGTCAGTATTATTGCGCAACCTCGGCGCATTCTATCCACCGGCCTTCAGCTACTCACATCACTGTAGAGCTCCTACCCCCCGCCGTCGCACGACCCTTACGGACAACCTCCCCAGCACGGCTATGGTGCCCCGCCCCAGGGCCAGTACCAACAGAGCTACGACCCGAACCGCAGCACTTCTCCCTACCCCCCTCAGGGCCACCAGCAGCAGGGCTACCACGACCCGAACCAGCAGTACGGAGCGCATCCACAACAGGGCCATCATGACCCGCAGCAAGGCTATGGTGCGCCGGCATATGGTCAACCCGGTGCTCCCGGCGGCCCTGGCGGCCCTGGCGAAGGCGACCGCGGCCTGGGTTCAGCTCTGATGGGAGGTGCAGGCGGCGCGTTCGTGGGCAACAAGCTCGGAGGCGGCGCGCTGGGCACGCTTGGAGGAGCGCTTTTGGGGGCGGTTGGCGCCAACCTCATTCCTGACAAGTAAGCCAAATACGCACCCGAGCGCTATGGTGGACACCATCTAACATGACTCTAGGAAGGAGAAGAAGCACAAGAAACACAAGAAGCACGGCAGCTCTGAGCATGGCTCACACCACGGCTCACACCACGGGTCTTCGCATCATGGATCGCATCACGGATCGCACCACGGGTCCTCGCACCACAGTCATAGTCACAAGAGCCATAGTAGGAGCCGTAGCAGGGGCGGCAAGAGCAGCTCCAGCTCTAGCAGCGACTCGGACTAAAGATGTTGCGCATATGGGGTGTTTCTGGCTCAATAGATGCAGGGCGCACACTGTGATGGCACGGTCGTAGTCATAGTTCTCTTGAATAAGATCTATTTGCAACGCTAAACACGTGGTCATATGTATAAATGCCCGCTTGATTATATAAATGCGCCAGAGCCGGAATTTGCTCACGCATGAAGTTGAAGTCAACAGCCAGCTGTGCGCATCCCTACCATGGACTTGCATGCAGATGTGGATCAGACCCTGTTGTCCCAAAGCGGTTAGGCGTGCCACCAGAGTGCAGCCCTTTTTCTCCACTCTTACTCATCGCCGCAAATTCCAAAAGCAGCCCCGCAACCACGCTATCAAGATGCAAAATTAGTGGGAATAAATTTATAACTTCCTGTAACACGTCAGTGATAACTTACGAGACGAACGTTAGCTCCAAAACTCACGCACAATCGACATAAGCATGGCGGACGTTTTCCTGGATTTCTTCCGCAGTTCACTACCGGATGAACTCGCGGCAGTGCTCGAATCGACTATCACAGCGACGAAATCGGGAGAGTTCCTAGGCGTACTCCAACTACCGGAAGCGCAACTATTACTGGGATATCAGGACAATGAAACCATGAAGGAGGTCAAAAGAAACGACTTCACGCTCTGGAGCGACTACATCTTCCATCGCCTAGGACTCCTTCTGTCGAAACGGAACGAGGAGGAATCTACCCCGATTCAGGAAACATCCGCATATCGGCAGCATGTTTACTTCCTGATCGCCATAGCGGCATTTCATGCATTCCTGCAGTCGAATGTCACTGGACCACCACTGCCCTTCAAGTCTGCTGAGACGCTGTTGTCAAAAGACGTCGCAGATGATGCGAAACTTCTCAGCAAAACGCGCGCGGATCTTATTGCATCGCTGGGCGCAGATGGTGTTGCGGCATACAAGCTCACACCAAATATCGAGCTGCTGTGTCTTGCGCACACCATCCTCATCAGTCCCCCGATTCAAAAGAACATTCCGGTTTCGGCATGGGCGCGTCTTAGAGTGAACTTTGTCCATCAAAGGCTGCTCAGCGAGCCGGCTCCAAGTCTGCAGGATGCTATCTACGATGACTTGAAGATCGTAGAGGACTTGATCCAGAACTCGGAAATGAACGGGGAGATCAAGGACTTGCATACGACCTTCCTCCTGGAACGAGCAGCTGTTCATACGCACCACGGTCTAGACAAGAAAGCCAAGGCGGACCTTGACCAGGCAACCTCGGAACGAAAGTTCGAATTTGCGTTGACTGGACTGATGGGCAAGAGGACGAAGTTCCAACAGAAGGACACCAGTCAACTGATCGTACTCGCGCGAAGTGCGGGATCGGAAACCAACAGCACATCTGATGAGAGTTCAAAACCAAAGGCTTTAGATCTCAATGACGATACCCTGCTGGAATCGATTTCATTTACCAACAACACTGCATCCATGGAGATCAAGGATGAGTCCAATCTACCGGCATCGCTCACATCCATTGACCCATCAAACCAGCCATTACTTGATCCGCTAGACTCCGTCATCATGCTTTCGCTCGCAGAGAGCATCAAAAACACCAACCCAGCAGATGGTCTCACAAGAGAACAAACCGAGCCATATGCTACAAGAGTACTAGAGGGTGGTAGTTCGAACTGGCAAGTCTACACCCAAGCCCTCCTTGTAAGGAGCCGTATCGAAGGATACAAGTCGCGCACGATGGAGCGTGGACTCCTCCAGCTTCAAGCGCTGGTCGATCAAGTCATCGCAGAGACCTCGGGCGATGCTACTACCGACGCTGAGACTGGCGAGAAGATCACTTCTTTCCTCCCGCAAGCCAAGGAAAGTGAGTCGGCATCCGTTGAGGAACGCCTCCGTTACGTCTTCCCTCTCTGCTCTCCATCTCGCTGGGAGCTTGAGTCTGAGCTCGCTGCACGATGGGTCGCCCTCGGCGGTCTACGATCTGCGCTCGAGATCTACGAGAGACTAGAGATGTGGGCTGAAGCAGCGCTGTGCTATGCTGCCACTGAAAAGGAGGAGAGAGCGCGCAAGATGATCCGACGACAGCTTTTCCATGCCACCAATGGCGATGACGAGAACGTAGACTTGGACGAAGAGAAGTGGGAGGGTGCTGAGCGGGATCCACCACCAGCCGAAGCACCGCGCTACTATTGCATTCTGGGCGACATCGACAACGATCTCTCCATGTACGAAAAAGCCTGGAATGTCTCCGGTCAACGATACGCGCGTGCTCAACGCTCCCTCGGTCAACGCTACATCTCAGCACGCAACTACGAGAAAGCCGCAGAAGCCTACGCACTATCCCTAAAGATCAACGCGCTCTACCATCCCGCCTGGTTCGCGCTCGGATGCGCCTACCTCGAGCTCCTCCAATTCAAAAACGCCGTCGAAGCCTTCTCCCGCTGCGTGCAGCTCGACGACCAAGACGCCGAAGCATGGAGCAACCTCGCAGCCTCCCTCCTGCACCTCAAGCCCAAGATCCAAGAAAACGCCGACGGCGAACTCCAAGAAACACGCGTAACAAACCACCCCCGCACTGACGCCTTGAAAGCATTCAAACGCGCCGCAACAATCAAGCACGATAACTTCCGCATCTGGAACAACGTGCTCGCCGTGAGCGCATCCACCAACCCGCCCTCCTGGGCCGACGTCGTGACAGCCCAACGCCGCATCTGCGAGCTCCGCGGCTCGACCGAAGGCGAAAAGTGCGTCGACGCTGAAGTCATCGACATGCTGGTCAAACACGTAGTCTCCGCCGAAGATGGCTTCGACATCACGCGCCCCGGTCTCCCGCGCCTCGTAAACGACCTCATGGAAAAACATATCAAGCCCCTCATCACCGTCTCCCCCAAACTCTGGCTCATCCTCGCAACCCTGTACACGCACACGCAGCGCCCCAGCTCTGCACTGGAATGCCACGAGAAAGCGTGGCGGGCCGTGACGAGCCAGCCGAAATGGGAGTCGGGGTCTGAGGCGGAGTGGAATGCGGTTGTCGATATGACGATTGATCTTGTGGATGCGTATGAGACGCTGGGGCCGAGGGAGCGGACGGAGGGGCTGGCAGGTGGCAGTGGAGAGGTGGTGGCGAAGGATTGGAAGTTTAAGAGTAGGAGTGCGGTTAGGAGTGTTATGGGGAAGGGCAAGGAGAATTGGGAGGATAGTGCTGGGTGGGGGAGGTTGGTGGAGAGGCTGGAGGAGTTGAAGGGGAGGGAGTAGATGGGGCGGTGGGTATCTGGTGCTGTGGGGTTTTCTCGCAGATGAGAGTTTTCGACTAGGAAAGTATAAAAGCTTGGTTTTCTATTGAGATTGTCTACGCGTGTGGTGCTATGCTACTGTTGCTGAAGGGAAGACCAAGTGTGTCCGGGTAGGGCCTTTATTGACGCCATGGTGTTGTGACGCGGTAGTCGCATCTGAACCTTACCAGGAGCTGCTTCAACTCGACTTGTCGTGACGTTTATGATGTCGTCTTCGTTCATGGGCTATTAGGTATTTAGACTCATCATCGAGAACCAAAGGGTTTGGGGACAGGAATGAATCGTTGACGACATCGATAATGCCGACCCTCCATGTATCAGCATTTGGCGCTTCCGCAACAATATGTCACAGCTAGACGATTACTGCCCCTCGAGCCACGAAGTGTTAATGCACCTATCAGATGGCTGAGACACTCAGGGGGTGAATGAGGACGCAAGACATAACCGTTGAAGACGTTGCACACCAATCGTTAGAGCGAAAAGCAATGTCTCGCAGCGGAGATGCCTCAAAAGTGCATCTGCTCCCTCAGCGGCAAGCTCGGGCGAAGTTCCTGGGGAAGTAGCGCGCCGTGGTTTGTACCACACTCTGCGCTGTCGGTAGTGCCTACCGTGTCAGCAAAGACTGCTGCCCAAGAGCGACTACCCTCTTAGTTCGTGCGATGCAAGCTACCCGTCTAGGTGCATGATCAGAGCTGAACTCTTTCCCCACACCCGCTCTTCCGGCGGCCAGACCTGGTATCCGGGTTGTCTCGCCCCTTGCTGTGGCGACCGAGAAGGTTTGGTGTGATGAGAAAGTGAGAACAGACCCGACAACCGGGTCCATAAGGGTGTGCTTTGCGAATCGATTCCGCCGCGGAACTTCGGCTGCTGGCCGAGCCTGTGAATGTGAACGAGATGTATCGTGGCCAGAGTGGCCATGCTCATCTTGGATAGCTGCATAAACTCTATTTCGGCTCGGTACCGAGGTGTTGGTCGAATGCTCCTTATGTCGTGAAGGGTAATGTAAAATCCATAGATTAATGGCCAATTCTGGAGGTTACTGAAATGCGTGGCGATTAGATGCGTGGCAAGTAGCAACGATGTAGCAGGTGCATTGCTGACAAAATGGGATCCATGATGCGTTTGCGCAAGAGACCCACCCGAACGCTTTCGGAGTAGCCACCATGGGGATTAGCTAAAGCGAGTCATCTCTTTTATGGTGTAGTGAGTGCGACGTCCGAGAGTCTTGTGCTCAGTTCGTGCAACCAGACCAGTGGTCAATAGCCCGAGATCTGCTCGCGTACAAGACCTGTTGCAAGGTTACACATGTTCGCCTTCGTTGCGATCGACGACGGTGTGCTGTTAAGCAGTTCATCTCGAGATCGTTGGCAATTCGTGCGGGATTGAGTGGTGGACGGCGTCCTGGGATGTCACCAAGCGTTGGAATACCCAGGCAGTCTCTGTATTGGGTCCACTACACTGG